GCCTCTAATATCTTTGAGGAACGTTACGCGGCATAACCATTTTTCAAGCGACAATCCGTCGCATTTGCCCCATCTCTAAACTCGTCCATTAAACCCGTCACAATATTTACGAAAACTTTCTTTAAAAGTCATGTATAAACAATTGTGATTACATAGAAAGATGATTGTATATAATGTTTTTTTTTTTAAATATGTAATAATTATTCCAATATTTTATCCACTTCAGACCAAATAAAATGACAAATCATTCGAAAACATTACGCCCAAGTCCTAATTCGAATAAATCATAAAAGATAACTGAAATCACCAATAAAAGTGAACCTGATGCACAAACATATGCAATCCATATTCGCATTTTATCTGGTATTGAGAAAGCTTTAAACCGATCCAGCGGTGTATCGAGTATTATTGAATCACTTTTTTCGCTTTGACTTTTATCAGATACAGAATTAGATACTGAACGTGATCCTGAATTTGATCTTTCTAATTCGACGATAACATCTTGATTGCTAACTTCTTCTTGTACCGTAATTGTGGGTATGTTGGTTGGTGGATTATATTCTAAACTTGGAGGTGATACACGACAACTTAAAGATGAACAATGTACAAGTGAAGGTGGCATTTGGAGACTTAATGCAGCAGGACGACTATGACTTCCTACATCGAGTGATTCAGATTTCGATGTTGTGGGTGGAGCAGATACTATTCGACGTCCTGGTACATGAAGTTGATCATTGAAAGATGTGTATAGGCTATTTGGAGTATCCGGTCTCAAAAAATCATCATTATTTAGGATTCCAACCGCTGCATCAGTTTTATCTCGTAATCTCTCTTTAGCTATTACTTGTGAGTTTAACCAGTCTTTGATAGATTTAAAGCTCTTATCGCTTTTGTTGCTCTTGACTGAAGTTTTTCGTTTAGCACTGGCTAAAGAATAGAAATTTAATTTTTTTACGTATTAGAGGTAAAAGATAAAATTAGATTTTAAAATGATTTATTGTAATTAATATAGATCTTTACCTTCAATTTTATTTGGTTTCTGACTCAAATAGTATAGATAGAATGGAACAATAAAGTTGCTAACACTTGTAAAAATTAAATTTGACCAATTTACAAACTCATTAAGCCAATGTCCGGTTTGAAATGGCATTACAACGATCCATGGTAATACTGATGAAAGAAATGTTGCTAATCCTGCAAAAAAAAAAAAAAAAGATTATATATTTAAATATTGAGAAATTCGAGAACATATATGATCAAAATAATTGAGTCAAAGTTATGATTATATAATTAGGTCATATAAACCTACATGTACCAAAATATATTTTTTTTGATCACATTAAAAAGTTATAACATTACCTCTTTTACAATGTCCTGACCGAATTAAATTATATCGGATAACAATTGTATATACAGGAATACTTGTTATTAATACTGCAACCGGAAAGATATAAGTACTAGCAATGGTTAACCAGTTTTTTTGATCAGACTTATTAATAACAATGATAATATCAGAGTTTGGATCTATTTGAAACGTCATTCCACCAATAAGTCCAAGTAAAATATAAATTATAGTCGAAATCGATGTAGAGTAAAATACGGATTTTTGAATTGGAACTTTAGGATTCTACGATGTAGAATAAAATACGGATTTTTGAATTGGAACTTTAGGATTCTATCACAGGTATCAAAGAACATTTAAAGCACTCTGGATTAATTATTGAATAATTATATCTCCAAATATCATAACTTACCAAGTCATTTACCCAACTTGGAACAGTTACAATAAAAGCGTAATTAAATAAAACAGTTCCAATGACTTGGCTCATATTATTACCGAATATTGGAACATATGAATCGGTTAAGCCATTTTTGAAAATGTAATGAACCAGGCAACAAGTATGGTTATTAATCCAAGAAATGAGGCTAACAACAAAGAAATTTAATTTAAAAGATGCTTAGAAGATATTAAAAGTCAATTATTATTACTTGCCTATTTGAATTTTGACATTATCTGCTAAAGAAAAAATGCCCAAAGGTGCGACCATGATGAGTGTAATCTATAAAAAGTGATATGATGATAATTGAGATAATAAAATCCTGAAAACATTCGCGTCATTACATGATATGTGATATCAAAATCATGTGACAGCACCTTAAGCACCTTTAAGAATAATGGTGACTTAATCAACTTACAACGAATCCCAAAGTCGCGACCATGTAATTCGTTCCAAACGGACTATTATAGTCACCTTGTTGATTTATACAGTAGAAACCACTTTTAGGAGATATACCTAATCCACATGTTTTTCCAAATAACGATATCAATAGCGTATCCATTGATTGTGCGGATAACAATATTGAAGCGATATTAACGGATTGAAGTGAAACGAAAAGACTTATTTGAATGAGAAATCGTTTTCGTTTATTTGATACAAGAATCGCAGTTAAGTGAGAAAATTCGATTTGGCGCTATCAAATGAAATTATGTGAATAATTTAATGTTGAATTCATGATTATAGGGAAATGATTTGGATTGATTGTTACTTGGAATTTTTCATTTCCTTTAATCGAACTAGCAGCTTCACATAATAAAAGTGATGCAGCACAACTTAATATCGCGATGAAAATAAATACAGCGAGGGTTCTATCGAATATGGTATTTTTATATATTATTATATATATTATTTATAAATATATAATAAATTAGAAGCTAAAAATTTTTAACTAACACCAACCAACCAGCAGTTTGAAATAATATAGGGACTTGAAACGAGAAATTAAATGATAGTGATGATTAATTTGATAGAAAAATTAAAACACGATTATTAACAGTTAAATAGTTAATTATTTACTCGTTACAAGTCCGGGCCCAGTCATTGATGAAACCAAAAGAGCAATAATTCCGAAATAAGAGATGCCATTAGTTCGAAGCGTTTGTGTCGTAGAATCCATTTTTTAAAAGTATATGATCAATAAAGAGTTTTTGATGCGTTGTAAGAATTATTATCATTGATATTTTTTCTTTATATCAAATGCCAGTATTACATGACTTTAATGCTGAAAGTGGTAGTTCAATTTAAATTTTACCAATTAAAATTCAAAATTTGGAGTAACAAATACGAAATGCATATTTATGAAATAAGATATGTATCTTGTACTTGTTATTTATATTGGCATCATAAGGATCAATTTAATATTTGTTTCCTATTGCAGTACTGGAGAAATCGTAACTACTATTTTTAGAATAAAAAACAATTTTAAAAAAAACTTTAATATTTTTTTGTATTGGCCTTAGCCATGTTCAAATTTTAAATTTGTTTGGACAAAATTTTCATACGCCCAATTATTTCCAAATCAAGAAATCAAATACAACATCAAATTTACTCCTTCCGGAAGAAGTTAGTAAAGTTGTACAGTAACTGTAATGTAACTGATAAATATACTTGCCGCCCCAAACCATAAACCTTTATAATCCGTCTCAAATCCTAAACATAATAAAAATCGGTCCACATCCAAAATCCCAATCCCAAATATAATAAAATCCGTCCCAAATCCAAAATCCCAATACGCATTCTTGCTATAAATATACTAAATTTAGATAGTATGTACACACATTTTTTAGATAGTGTTAAAGTCTAATTTTCTTGATAATCTTTATTGAAATCGTTATTTAATGATTTGTTTTGCAAATTCTTAAAATATGTAAAATATGTGTAAAATGCAAACATTTTCAAATTACGTATTTCTAAAACAATAAATCTATGTTAATTTTAAATAAAAACTAAGCACAAAGATAATTTACCTTTAAAGTGAATTTAAGCCAATTTAAATTTTGTAATTCTAACCTTAATTTGACGTTCTAGTAGAACTATTTTTCTTTCTTCTAACTCAATATCTAATAAATCATTGTTATTATTAATTAGTGCTTTCTGCATTGATCGAAGTTGGTTCTCTTTTTGATAAACTAGAAACATTTATTTTGTTAATAAATTTCTAATTTTGTCGCAATAGGGGCTTCAAAGTAACAACTAAGTATCGCATTCGGCGAACTTAACCCCTAAAATCAATGATGACAGTTTTCTAGTATGTATAAAAATGTCAATATGACGATTAATTCCAAACGACTAGAAAACTGTCATCACTGATTAATCACTAATGAATTTTTAAGGGCCAAGTTCGCCGAATAATAAACTACAATTTTCAGATCCAGGTTCTCTAATTTTATCGGAAATGAAATAGGACCGACTGTGACGTAGACACAGGAGGGATATTATCGCGAGGATCACCTGACCCCATGATCATTAGGGTTATGAGGTCACTGATCCAGCGAGTCA